CACACACTGTGCAGGCCTGGGACTGTTTTTCAGAGACAAAAGAGTTTAGACAGAGTAGAGGGGCACTACTCCAGGGAGGGCATGGGTCAGCATGGTTGCATGTCCTTTAAGACTTCAAGTTTTGAATCCCAGCTGCATAAGTTTGGACTCCCAAAGAAAAGATGCAGGAGAGTTGTGGTACAGGGCAAGCTGACTGCCCTCACTCACTGTTCTGTGAGGGTTGCCTGACCAGTGTGGGGTGTGCAATTCTCTGTCCAGTGATGAAGGATTGGGGTAGTGCCATTTTCCCCACATACCAACACAGTATGACTTTGGAGAGCAACACAGCAGCCTCCAGTGGAGGCGGGCCATACCTACAACAAACCTCGCCCCCCCTGTGCCTGGCAACTGCTTATTTACTCAGGCAAGACTAACTCTGAACCAAGGCAGTGGCTCAGGCTCTCCTCTAGAAGAACAGCACAGCCAGGACCCTGCATGCACCAAGTATACTGAAAACTGAATGCTTCAAAATGACAACTGCAGTTCCGGTGGAAACAGGGCCAGGCTTAATATTTTTCTTTCTTCTTTTTTTGTTTTGGAATCAAGGTCATAGTTTCTTATTTATTTTTTTCATTTCCTTTTCTCTCTCTTTTTTCTTTTTCAACATTACTTTGGCTATTTGGGGTCTTTTGTGGTTCCATACAAATTTTAGAATTGTTTTTCTAGCTCTGTGAAGAATGCTGGTATTGTTTTGACAGGAATTGCATTGAATGGTGTTGGGCAGTATAGACATTTTAACAATACAGTATGTGTTCTTCCAATACATGGGCATTAAATGTTTTTTCATTTCTTTGAGTCTTCTTCAGTTTCTTTCAGAAGTGTTCTACAGATTTCATACAGATCTTTCACCTCTTCGGTTAGGTTTATTCCTAGGTATCTTATGGGTTTTGGTGCAATTGTAAATGGGTAACTTATAAATGGGATACATAAAAAATAAATGCAAAATGGATTAAAGACCTAAATGTAAGACAGGAAACCATCAAAATCCTACAGGAGAAAACAGGCAGCAAACTCTGTGCCCTCAGCTATGGCAACTTACTAGACAGGTCTCTGTAGGCAAGGGAAACAAGCAAAAATGAACTACTGGAATCTTACGAAGATAAAAAGCTTCTGCACAGTGAAGCTATCAACAAAGCTGAAAAGCAACTGACGGAAAGGGAGAAGATATTTGCAAATGACATACTGGATAAAGGGTTAATATCCAAAATCTATAAGGAACTTATCAAACTCAGTATCCAAAAAACAATCCTGTGAAGAAATGGGCAGAAGACATGAATAAACACTTCCAAAGAAGACATCCAGATGGCTAACAGACACATGAAAAGATGCCTAGCATCACTCATCATAGGGAAATACAAATCAAAACCACAATGAAAAGCCACATATCAAAAAAAATCACAAATCAAAACCTCACACCTGTCAGAATGGCTAAAATTAACAACACACACAACAGATGTTGGTGAGGATGTGGAGAAAGGGGAACGCTTTTGCACTGCTGGTAGGAATGCAAACTGGTGCAGCCACTCTGGAAAACAGTATGGAAGTGCCTCAAACAATTAAACATAGAACTTCCATACAGCCCAGCAATTGCACTACTAGGTATTTATTAAAAGGATACAAAAATGCTGACTCAAAGGGGCACATGCACCCCAATGTTTATAGCATTGCTATCTACAATAGCCAAATTATGGAAAAAGCCCAAATATCCATCAACAGATAATACAGATGATGTGGTATATATATATACAATGGAATTATTACTCAGCGATCAAAAAGAATGAAATCTTGTCAACTGCAACAACATGGATGGAACTAGAAGAGGGTATTATGCTAAGTGAAATAAGTCAGAGAAAGACAGATAAATGATTTCACTCATGTGGAATTTAAAAAACAAAACAGATGAGCACAGGGGAAGGGAAGCATAAATAAGATAAAAACAGAAAGGGAGGCAAACCATAAGAGACTCTTAATTATAGACTCAAGAGTCTACAACATTGCTACACTATAACAGGTGTGTGGAAGATGCCACAGCAAGGGGGAAAATGGCAACCAATTCTGGATGTAGGTGGCACAAGAGTCGAGGACAGACAGGGAGAGGATAGGATTGTACAGATTTCTTTCTTCCACACATATTTATTGTCTACACTGTTCCAGGTGACTGAGAATAAATCAGATACAGAACCCTAAACTTGTAAAACTCACATGTGAAAGGGGGAAATATGAAAGAAACAATAACGAACGTAATAACATACTGCAATACATAGTATCAATAGAGACAACACTTGGATTTAATATTAAAGGATGAGATTTCTCAGGCAGGAGAGAAGGGGAAGGGCAGTTCAAGTACAGGACATAGGACGTGCCACAGCAAAGCAAAGGGAATGTGGTCCCCCTGTGCTCAAGGAATATACAGAAAAATCACAGGATATGACAATGAAAAGGTCAAAGCAGGAATCAGAAGTGACACTCACTGTTTTATTTAATTATTTTGTACAACACAAGTTTTCACTGGTTCAAATGAGACTGAGATTAAGGCATTTGTCTTGCCAAAATGAGTATAGTAATAGTACCTACTGAACATGGTCTTTATGGAACTAAAGGCCCTGGCACGCAGTAAGTGCTGTAATAATGCTTGCCATTATTTTTTTTATTAGTACTATGCTGTCATAAGGTCTAAATTATTAAATTCTATAGTCTAACCAGAAAGTTGTATAAATAAATCAAGAAAAGATTTGCTGCCTCCTCTTTCAAAATGGTCCTTGCAGAAATAATACACACGAGTGTATTCCACACAATACCCACAAGTGTTCCTTTTTTTGTTTTGTTTTTGTTTTTTGGAATTGCTCCTTTTTTATTTTCAGAGGATTTAATTCATTGACATCTATTTGGAAAATTATGCCAATTATTTAAAAAATATTTTCTTTTTTTTAAATTTTATTTTTTAAAATTTACATCCAAATTAGTTAGCATATAGTGCAACAATGATTTCAGAAGTAGATTCCTTAGTGCCCCTTACCCATTTAGCCCATCCCTCCTCCCACAACCCCTCCAGTAACCCTCAGTTTGTTCTCCATACTTATGAGCCTTTTCTGTTTTGTCCCCCTCCCTGTTTTTATATTATTTTTGTTTCCCTTCCCTTATGTTCATCTGTTTTGTCTCTTAAAGTCCTCACATGAGTGAAGTCATATGATTTTTGTCTTTCTCTGGCTGGCTAATTTCAATGAGCATAATACCCTCCAGTTCCATCCATGTAGTTGCAAATGGCAAGATTTCATTCTTTTTGATTGCTGAGTAATACTCCATTGTATATATATACCACATCTTTATCCATTCATCCATTGATGGGCATTTGGGCTCTTTCCATACTTTGGCTATTGTTGATAGTGCTGCTATAAACATGGGGGTGCATGTGTCCCTTCAAAACAGCACACCTGTATCCCATGGATAAATGCCTAGTAGTGCAACTGCTGGGTTGCAGGGTAGTTATATGTTTAGTTTTTTGAGGAACCTCCATACTGTTTTCCAGAGTGGCTGCACCAGCTTGCATTCCCCCCAACAACGCAAAAGAGATCCTCTTTCTCTGCATCCTTGCCATCATCTGTTGTTGCCTGAGTTGTTAATGTTAGCCATTCTGACAGGTGTAAGGTGGTATCTCATTGTGGTTTTGATTTGTATTTCCCTACACACAAGTGTTCCTAACTCTCAGGGCATGGATTCAGAGCACTGCAGCAATTTTTTCCAGAAATACTTTTATAGCCTTTCCTTAAACCGATAGTTTCAAAAATTTTTTAAAGCTCTCTTCCTTACAAAGAAGAAAGCTCTCTTCCTTACCACTTCCCACAGTGTAGACAAAGGTAAAACCTAACAATTACAGAATATCTCACAGAAATTATTGTGAAGATGAGTTAATGTATGTGCATAATAAAGGGTTTACTCAGGAAGCCTGAGTTGCCCAAACTCTGAGTATCTCAAAGGTCTCAGGACAACTCGCCCTTGACTAGCTCCTGAGAGCATGAGTGGGACAGAAAGAGAGGGAGACACAGAATCTGAAACAGGCTCCAGGGTCTGAGCTGTCAGCACAGAGCCTGATGTGGGGCTCGAACTCATGAGCTGTGAGATCATGACCTGAGCCGAAGATGGATGCTCAACTGTCTGAGCCACCCGGGGCGCCCCTGTGAATGTATTTTCTTATGCTTGAGGTCCTTGGTTTGAAGTCTGGGGGAGGCTGGAGACTGAGGAACTAAGGTCAGCCACATGTGCATTGCACATCCACGTGACTGACCCCCAACAAAAATGCTAGACACCAAGGCTCAGATGGGCTTCCTTCATTTGCAACACTTTGCATGTGCTGTCATACATTATCACTGGGAGAATTAAGTGCATCCTCATACAACTCTTATGGGAAGGCATACCTAGAAGCTTATTCTTGGTTTCTTCTGGACTTTATCCTATGTATCTTTTTTCTTTGCTCAGTTTAAATCTGTATTCTCTTACTGTAATAAACTGTTACCAGTGAGGATAACAGCGTTTTTAAAGTTTTGTGAATCCTTCCAGTGAATCACCAAGTCTAAGGGTGATCTTAGGAACCCACAATTGAATGTGAATGTGCTGAGGACAGCACCTGGCATCTAGTAGGCATTACATAGGTAGTTATTATTACCAAGTGCTGAAAAGCCATTTAAAATTTTAAGACAGCCAGACAGTGTTATTATTTGTGCCAATCTCTGATCTCAATCTCCACAGTAGGTTGGGCTAAGAAGATGATTACACAAGAACATGCTTTTTCCTGGATCACAAGCCTGAGGCACACTGGGTTTGATGACAATGCTTAAGTCAATTTCCAGAAGACTCTGCTCCAATCATAATTGTAAAATAAATGTTTAAATAGTAACAGAAACAAGTTGATGATAACAGATTAGAAATGGCAAAATATAAAAGAGATCTCACAATATAATGCATACCTTTATTTCCTTTATGCTCAGAAGAGATGCATTTAGAAATTCCTCAGTTAATCTCTTCCAACTAGCAGCTTTGCTGAGATCAGAATGAATGATGAATTTTTCATAAATTCTAAAATATATTTAAAAGTAAACTGATAGTTATAAACTTACATTAATAGAAAGATTTATAAGAAAATGCATATATTTTTTAATATGTACATATATATGAAACTAACTTACCCTTCTATTGTTTTTTCTACTTTGTGGCTGTTAACATCCAAGAAATGATGAAATCTAAAAGAGAAAATGTAATTTTTAGGTGAACCTTGTCATATAGCTAAGTAGACCAGTCTCAAGAGCCCTCTATATCCCCATAGTCACCCTATATTCGGCAATATATTTCCAGGAGTGCACCTCTCTCCCTGTATCACCTCTACCATCCAGGCAAACAGCCACTGCATCTCAGAAACTCCTCAAGCACAGGTCATCCTTAGCCTCCTTTGTCCTCTGATTCCTTCATCTTCCCATAATGCCTTGTATCTAAGTCAGTATAGCACATTCTATAGCAGGGGTTCCTAATCTTTTAATGCCATAGTGAAGCCCAGTGAAGCTTAGGCTTTATGAATTTATGAAACATTACTTCTCAAAGTAATGTTTAAAAAAATTTTTTTAATGTTTGTTTATTCTTGAGAGAGAGAGAGAGAGAGAGAGAGAGACAGCACAAGAGGGGGAGGGGCGGGGAGTGGGGGGAGAGACAGAATTTGAAGCAGGCTCCAGGCCCTGAGCTGTCAGCACAGAGCCTGACACGGGGCTTGAACTCACAAACTGCAAGATCATGGCCTGAGCCAAAGTCAGATGCTTAACCAACTCAGCCACCCAGGTGCCAGTGAGATGAAATACAAAAAAACCCAAGCCTACTGAAATATGGTTGTGAAGTACCTTTTAAAGTTTGTGATATAATAAGAGACATTTATTAAAGCATTAAATAACGAGATCTAGCAATGGATCCACAATTATCAGTAAAGCAACAGCAAAAAATATTTGAAAATATCTGCCACAACTTTATGATGTGAACTATGTGATTTCTACCTGTGACACAGTCCTAGGTAAATTGTTATTGCTTGTTGCTTTTATTTGTAATTTGAGGAAATGCCAGTTTTTAGTTAGAGGTTAGTGTAATTTTTTCTTGTCCAAGTTCTTAACACCTGAATTCTACAGGCTCTCAGATTAAAAATTCCAATTCTATATCATATGTAGACCTGTCTTCCTTTAGGATAGAGGGTATATTTCACTCATCTCTGAATTTCTAGGGCCTAGAACATGGCCACAATTTAAAAAAGAAAAAAAAAAAAAGCAAATATGGGACACCTGGGTGGCTCAGTCAGTTAAGTATCTGACTTCCATCTCACGGTTCATGAGTTTGAGCCCTGCATGGGGCTCTCTGCTGTCAGTCCAGAGGCCACTTCAGATCCTCTGTTACCACCCCCCCCCATCCCCTCGCTGCCCCTCCCCCACTCATTCTTTTTCTCTTTCTCAAAAATAAACAAACTTTTAAAAAAGCAAACATGTATTGTTCATTTTTCTCATGGATTAAAGCATCATATAGCTCATTCAACTCACTTTCTAATTTTTAGTATCAAAGACAACAATCTGTATTTAAAAGAAATAATTTACACCACTAAAAATATATATCTAATTCTATTCCAGTAAATGGCTGAATAGAGAACATCCCTTTATCACTTAGTTTCTCAATGTGAGACAGTAACTTCTAATGTCTCTCTGAAGTCTAAAATGATGTCCAGCTACCTACTGCCATTGACATATTAACTAATAGAGAAATTATTTGGGGTACAGCACTTAAATTTCTGTCTTATATGACCTATTCAGACATTGTTATATTTATAGGTTACACTTAAGAACTGAACTCATTATTTCAGAAACTTGGCAGGCTTTTAGACTCATTGTCTGTTCTCATTATAAACCAAGTAGGCACTGTATGCATGATTAAGGTTGATGATCAAGAATACTGAAACTGAAAAACCATTTCTATTGAAATTAAATAGGCAAATATTAACATGGATGGACATTCTTTTAGTAATAATTCTATTATAGGTAATGATCATAACAGTACTGTCTAATTTACATCTTCCATAAATAAAAATAGGAGCTCTGACTTCATAAATCTCAAGAAATTACATGAGACACTGTATTAGAAATTGTATTATATGGTGGCTTAGTGTACTATGTGCCAGGAACTATTCCAAGTGTTGGGATAAGAAATGAACAAAACAAACCATTATCCCTACCCTCATGGAACTTACATTTTAGCTGGAAGGAGGGGTGGAGGAGACAAACAGTAAACATACAAGTTATCCAGTGTACTATGCTGTGCGTTTCGAAAAGAGAAAAAAAAAACACAAGACCAAGGTAAGAGAGATCTGGAGAGGCTCAATAAGGGGTAGGGAGTAAGAATACAGTGTTAAGTAGGGTTTGACCATTATTTTGCTCTAAAACTTCATTTACCTACTCATTCAAAAAATGTTTGCTGCGCAGTGCACCGCGCTAAGCGCAGTGAGTGGAAGAAGGAACATGAGAGACACAAACCCCTTCTCCAAAAGTACGCTTCTAAGGGTAAGGCCGACCCATAACAACCCAAAATCCACTGTTTCATTATGCGTTTGTCACACGCGACAGGGATCCAAAGGACATTAGAGCACCAAGCTGCTGGAGAGGCAGGCGCACGACGGTCGGAAACCCGGCCGCGCGCCCGGATACCCCTTGACCCATTCCTGTTCCCAGCCTCGGCCCCGGAGCCGCACCCCACACCTGAAGTTGGACCAGGCAAAGTGCAGGGCGAGCTGGAAGTTGGGGTCCGCCTCATCCTGAAGGCCAGCCACATGGCGAATGAGCTCGCGAACGTCGCGCTCCTGCTGTGGGTCCAGTTGGCTCCAAGACGGCGCGGGCCGGAACATACTGCTCTAACTTCCACAACTACGCCCTTCCGTGAGGTTGTTCCTGCTCTCGCGAGAGTTCACGGTCCCACCGCTTTGCTCATCGGAGAGGTTCCGGCCGCTGTCGCGAGAGTTCGAATTCTAGCTCCTGCCCGGTTGTGTCCGTGCTGATTCTTGTAGGACGTTCTTGCGTGCGTTTTCCAGTTTAACCTTGAGTACATTTAGGAGCGTCCTCAAAGAAATAGCCGTTACTGTTAGTCAGATTAATAATAATCTCTGGCTAACCTTGGTAGGTGGTTTAATTTACGATGTTTGGAGAACAGCCATTAGTTCTCATTCGCACCTACGTTTTCAGGTACCGTGACCAGTTAATTGTCCATTCTTATCCAAGCTTCAGTTTCTCCTTCTAGAGGTGATCTATAATGATCTCTCAGTTTCCCTCTGTCTACACAGGACACACTACATGGTCCTCACTACAGCAAGTGTCAGCAAAGTGCTTTGTCTGGCAGAGGCAGACAGGCTGAGCGCTGCTCCTTCTGCTCTCACTGGCTTGTGATTGGGAGCTGCCAAAGGACTTTATAATTCCTGTTGATTAAAGATGGAGTATGTCTTTGTTGTTCAGTACTTAAAATTCAGTAATTAAATTACTGAAATACAGTTCACTAATTAAATTACTAAAATACAGTTCAGTAGTTAAAACTGTACCTGTGAACTGTTTCTGTTCATTAAAAAAAAAACGTTTTTATTTATTTTTGAGGGGGGAGGAGGGGCAGAGAGAGAGGGAGTCAGAATCTGAAGCAGGCTCCAGGCTCTGAGTTGTCAGCACAGAGCCTGATGTGTCGCTGGAACCCAGGAACTGTGAGATCATGACCTGAGCCAGAGTCCGAAGCTCAACTGACCCACCCAGGTGCCCCTGAACTGTTTCTGTTCAATATTGCATCTAACTATTCCAAAACCTGTTACGTGGACTTCTTTATGTTTTCTTTTAGGGATCTGGTACGGTTTCATGTGATTTATTACATTGTTTTACTGTAGTAATAGATAGTTGATATACCACTGTCAGTCCATTTGGGCTGTTGTTACAAAATACTATAGACTGGGTAGCTTATAAACAACAGAATTTATTTCTCACAATTCTGGAGGCTGAAATTCAAAATGAGGGTGCCAGCATGGGGTTGGGTGAAGGTGTCCTCACATGGTGAAAGGGGCAAGGGAGTTCATTAGGGTCTCTTTTATAAGGGCACTAATCCCATTCATAACGGCTTTGTCCTTATGACCTGATTACCTCTCAAAGGCCCAACTTCCTAATACCATCATCACTGGATAGATTAATAGATTTAATAGATTAATAGATTTCAACTTAATAGATTTCAACATATAAATTTTGGGCAGACCATTCAGACACCATAGCAACTACCTAAAACATAGACTGCACATGATTACACAAATCTTACAAGAAAGAGAAAATCATAGTATTAGATGGTTCTATGAAAGGGAATTTTTACTCTATTCTTGAGCAGTCTTTTCTACTCCAGTTTCACCTGTCGTCTGTACATTTATCACTCTCTGTGTAAGTAGTTCACGTTTTTCTCAGGACCCCAAACCTATAATCTAATTGCTTTCTGTACATCTCTAAAAATCAAAGTATATGCATATGCTTACATGTGTCTCTATTTCTTTGTCCAGCCAGTTGGTCTTGACCTTTGGAGGGAGACTTAGAAAACTTTCCACAGGTCACTCCCAGTGACTTGGACTTCTTAAAGATTGAGCCACTCTTCCTGGGCTTCTCTGGTTGGCCTGGGTTAGCGTCTCTTTTCTGAAAGGGGAGTTGAAATAATTTTCCCAAGGTGCCTTAGTTGACTGAGTCCCATTCAAAACACCATAAGCCTCCAGACATCTTCTGTAGACCTCTAAGTCTGGCCCTAGCTGGTCACCCCTTTGGCAATGGACATGGAAACAGTTTTTGGGAAGTACATATGAAAGATAGGACAGCAAACAGGCCAGGAATACTGCCATCTGTCCCTTGCTGACCTGGATCAGTGCTGCCCTCCAGTATGGTGCTTAGATAAATTTTCTGGAAGTGCATGCAAAGACTGGGCTCCATGCATGACTACAGCCTGGCCAAAGGCACCATCCTTATCCCACTTGTCCATCTTGTCCCATGACCCCCTCCCGCCACTTGGAGGGACTTAGAAATATTTAAGGATTATCTCTGTCAAATGTTCCACACATGGGACTATGCCAATCCGGGGATGCCTATTGCAGACCTGCATGCCCACCCAAGTCTGTAGTGGCTTCTGGAGGGAACTTACAAAAATTTGTAGGAGTTGCAATGCCCTTCTCTTCATCCATGGCCAACCTGAGGCAATGCTCACCTCTGGAGGAGAAACTGGAAATGTTCTTGGGAGATACAGTCAATGACCAGGACTCATGTGGGACTTGTGGCCAGCCTAGAGTGCACTCCCCAGACCTGTCTGTACTAAGTGGACTGGTCCTGGTCTGTGAAGGGGGAATTAGAAACTTTTCAGGTGGGGTTCCTAATACCATGACCCATCAGAGCTCCTTCTTGAGGACTTGCTGGCCTTCTCAAGCCTTTCCATGCTAGAGACTTAGAAATGTTTTGGGGATGCCTCCAAAGTTCCCAGGAAAGGCCACAGCCAGGCCCATGGTGCCCTTCTATACCAGACTTCTCTGGTGGTTTCCCCTTTGGAGGGAGGCATAAACATTTTCAGAATGTGCATTCAGCTTCTAGTCTCCCAAGTGGGATCATACTAGAACTGGGGTGACCTGTTGTGCCTTCCTGTTGACCTGAGCTGATACTTGATTCCTAAGTAAAGAGGTGCCTCCCCAAAATGTTTCTCAACCCACCTCCAGTGGCTGAGATAGACACATCCTGCCACAGAGGCCTGTGGGGGCACTAAGGATCAGGCCCTGGTCTTGTGTGGATCTGGTCATTGGATGGCCTCTGGATATGCCCTCTGGAGAATGTGGGTACTGGTGGCCAGTAAGGGCTGCCCAGGGAGGGTGCTTCATGAGGTCTAGGTTTTGATGTGCCTCCAGAAACTTTTTCTATGTTCCTCTCTGGAGGTGGACATCAGCCTGTGACTGACATGGGGAACTCAGCAGGGCACCTTGGTCTTGGCCATGGTTGTCAGATGCCTCTGGCAAACGGGGATTGGTCCAAGCTGGCCAGAGAGGTCTTAGGTGGGTGTCTATAACCCAGCTGTGGCCCTGCATGGGACCCAGTCACATAAGGCACTCCCCAAACATTCCCAAGGCCCACTCCAATGATGGGGGCCAGTAAGAACCAAAAAGGGGTTGCCCATGCCTGGTGGTTTCCTATGTGGGCCTGCTTGTCTCAGCCCTCTGAATATTTTCATATCCCTCACCAGAGAAAGGAACACTGCAGGCAGGTCAGCTACACTCTGAGATTGCACTCCATGCTCATTGAGGTCTTGTGTAGGGCCAGTCATTGAAAGCACCACCCAACAAATTTCCTAAGCTCTCTTTGGTGACAAGCACAGCTTGGGTGTCTAGGAAGCTCTGTGGAGGTATCCTGACCATGGTCAAGTGTGGGCCCTCATCACTTGATGTGCCTGTGGAAAACGTTTCTAAGTCCTGTCTATGGCACTGGGTCTATGGCATGGGATGGTGCTGGGGCCCAAACATAGTCCTATGAGAGGCCTGGCTACCAGATAGGCCTCTTGAAATTTTTTCTTAGTCCCACTTGAAGGCAGTGAAAACCTTGGGATGGAAAGGGAGGCCCAGTGATAACATGGTTTTGGCCACAGTCCTGGGTGTGGTTAGGTGGTCAGATGTGCCTTTTAAATATTTTTCATGTCTCTGGAGTGTCCAGTCAGAGACGTCTGTGGAGGAGTCAGTGGTCTGACCATAGTCCCACATGGGCCCTTGTCATCACATGACCCTCTAGAAAATGTTTCCAGGTCCATTTGGACCATGTAGGGAGGCCTGGAAAGGGTTCCTGGGACTGGCTTCTTACTCCTAGGGTTGGCAGCACCTCAAAAAATGTTTCCTAGAGGACTGGAACGATCTGGCTGGAGAGAGATGACCATGGGATTTGTTCAAGCCCACCCGTACCCCTGCGTGGGACCCACCCACCCCTGTGCTGGTGGAAACAGGGCATCCTGGGAGGCCCTGGGGGTGAGGATTGTAGAAATCTTGGCATATAACAACTCCATCTAAACCACTGCACTAAGAGATTTGACCAAGTGCTAGCATGGCTTCTAGCAGCCTTATGGCTGTGTCCCTAGGATGATCCCAGTCCCATCCACCCCCCAAAAACCACCTGCCTGAGCTCCCTCTGTAGAATTCATCTGGCATAACCAGGCTGTTTTCTCCATTTCTGTACTTTGCATACACACTGTGCCATTTAACTATAACTTATAGAGAAATAACAACTTCTTGCTTACCCATTCTACATCATTCTAACTTGACTCCTTATACATTTAGATGTTCTATGCACCTAATAATTTGCAAACCAATTGTGTTGTCCAGTCTATATGCCTCATACCCATTGCAAGTCATCACATTTTCAACCCGGGTTGTGCCATTGATTTCAAATTCCTGCTCATCAGCAGTTTCCCAACCAAATACTATACCCCTCAAACTTGTTTGTGATTCAACCACTCTATGCCAAACCACTCTGTATCATTTGACTATCACTCCTGGTGTGCACAACATGTGCTATTCAATTTGACCCTTGCACATCCAGTGGGTTTCATTCATTTTCCAATGCTGTTCAGCTTATATGTATTGCACAGCAAAACTATACTATAAAATTACGCCAATAGTATATACAGTTGACCCTTGAACAATATGGAGGTTCAGGGTGCCTGGCCCCATACAGTTGAAAATCCCAGTAAAACTTTTGACTGCTCAACAGCTTCTAATAGCTACTATTGACCAGAAGCCTTACCAAATAACACAAATATTTGATTAATGCATACTTTGTATCTTATATATATTATATAATGTATTATTTTTAAAATTTAAATTTCAGG